GGTTGTCTTATTAAAAACATTTATTCATAAAATTAAGGTAATATCGTACATTTTTAATTTGAAGATAAAATTGTGGTTTATTCTTACAAACATTCCAAAATATCACTTTATTACATGGACATGAAATATAAATTGAACAAAAATAAACTAAGTTTCTTTAATGTAATATATACCTCATAAAAAAATACAAAGCTGAATATAATCAATTAATCAATTCATCAGTAATAAACCTATTTATATTATCGATGAGATTAAAAAAACACGGTCTGCTTCAGCTCAAAACAAGGTCACAGAAGACAATCAAGCTTTAAGAGCACACATAAAAACTGTTAATGATAATTTATACGAGTGGCACACACGTGTCACTCGACTAAGAAACTCGACACAAACAAAGCTAGTTTAAAATTGCTAATGAGTTGTTGCCTAAACCTGGCACAAAGTTAACACGCCTCTTGAATACAAATTACATCAAATATTGACCATACAAATGAGCTCAAACTCTACAAAATATAAACGTAAGAGATTTTAAAACTCAATGTTGGTATATTCGTGATCATGACAATTGTACCTGTACGCCCGATGTGACTATTTATTTATTCCCTTGGAGCGGGACGCTCTTAAACTATTATGGTTTTTAAAATAAAACATATGTCTATGGAATGTTTAATGATCGAAAGTGAATGAGTATGTAATGAGTACTAATTTTATGCAGTCTTGCCCACCAGACTGCAGTGCAGACTGCCTGCCTTTCTTTATTTTTAGAACAAATATATGATATTATTTACAAATAAGTGGTTGTAATGTAATAAAAAAAAATTGCCACTTTGTAACTTTTCAGACGTGCCAACGTAACTTTTAATCGGAGACAGGACTTGAAAGGGGATATTTTTACGTATTTCACGGCAACAATGATACACACAGTATACGTAGTAACATTATTTTTTAATCTGTGACATAGTTTTGCAGCGGGATTATCTTATTCAAAGTAGGATGTATGATCATGTAACGTATGCCACTTGTTTGTAAATGTTACAAACAGATAAACGTATTAGTAAATAGCATAGTATGAGGCAATCATAATGAAGAGAGCTCATTATAATTTAGGATTTGCTTAAATTTAAGCAGAATGCCAAATATTTTCCACTCTTTAAAGATATTTCTTGTTGCGCTATTTTTGTTATGGATATTACTTTTTGTGTTCTGTTAATGATCTCGCTTTTCATTTTTTGTAAATTTTGCAATGAATTACTTAATTTTGATGTTTTTGAAATTAAGGACGTAATACTATCACTTATTAAAATCAAGAGTTAATAGTACATAGTAGGTTATACGATAAAGTTAGCAACATGAACAAGCTGAGAAACTGGTTGAGACATGTTGTTGCCTGGATAGTCATGCGATCGCGGGATACCACGTTGTTTTTTTCTTTCGAAATGAGGAATACATCTTGAGCAGGTATAAATCGGGCTTTCTGTTTCCCAATTCCTTCTTTTTGTATACATTTGTCTATTTTTTGTGATTTTTTTCATTAGTTTTACACTGTTTCATAATATACAATATTTAACTAGTAGAGAAAAATCTTTTTAGATAAAGAAATACTCTTTTTTCATAATTTATTACACAATCATCATAAAATATTTTATATTCTGTAATTTGGTTAAAAATCCAAGTTTTTACATAAAGAGAACTAAGTGAAAATCAGATTACGGCTTTTACTAAGTTTTGTATGAATAATTGATTAGAGATAATTACGCAATTATTACACATTGAACAAAACGAATTATACGGGTTTTATCCCGTTAGCAGAAACAATGGTCTGCCTTTGAGTACGTAGTAATATTATTTATTCTGTGCTATGAGTGCCTCTATGTGTTGAAGACAATACCATCGGGAATTTAAAAAAGAAGTTAAAAATAAACGCGATAATATCTGTGATGTTAGTTTTAATTTAATTTTATAGATAATTTCTGGTTCCTATTTACTCGCTGTTATCTCGAGGTCAAGACTGCTATACGAATATTATCGGTATAATAATTTAATAAGAACAAATAGACATATTATCATATAATGTCCGTTATAGTGGCACGTTATTATTATTCAACATTTACTCTGGTTTAAAATAAAGAATACATTAGTGACGTGATGCGGTCGTAATGAGATGAAATCGTGTAAACTGGCCACTTATCTGCATTTACGTACCTACACGTTTATAATGTTGTAGAGATAAGTTCATTGTAAAGGTATAAAGATAATACTTATGTAAGCCTTATTTAGAATAATTTTCTAAGATTTATGTCTAAGTAAAAAGAGCTTGTGTAATTTTTGAATACATTTTTATTGGAATATCGCTGCAAGTACCTAGTCTTTAGGATTTCAATCTTATTATATTATAGCTAGTAAAAACAAGCAGACTAGCAAAATTGTAAAAAATTCGGAACAACAGATAATTATTGAGTACCGATGGGTTAATGTTTAAAATTGGTCATTCGATGCTGGACCCTTTTTACATTTCAAAAAGGGGAATAAGCTATCGATTGGACTATTTTTTTTAACATGAAATCTCCCGACGGTAGTTAACCGATCTAGTTGATTTTTATTTACCATTAGGTTAAAGTACACTTTCAAAATTGTCCCATATTAATTTCATTCAGACTCGCTGTTAATTGATGTCAGTTATATTTTTTATATTCAAGCTATCGCAATTTATTCGTTGTTTTATACATTTTGACAAAAACTAGTCTGTTATTAAATCTTTTTTTTTTTCGATTATAACCAATTTAAGGGCCAAAACATGTAAAAAGTGTTGAGTTATGAATAAATCTATAATTTTTATTAAACAATAATAAGATAAGGTCGGCGTAAAAATAAAAATATGTTTTTACCCAGTTTGAAGAGGGCGGGATGGAGTCTTCAAGCTAGGGTTATTAATTTTAACATCTATAATATAATGGATTTTCTCGAAGTAACGCCTGATACTATTAATTATAAATTTTATTTATTATTGTTTTTCAAAACAATAGCTTATATTTTTTTCAACCATAATTAAGATGTAAAAATCTAGTCAAGATTTTATATGCGATATATTTCACAAATTTAATTTTACTGGAATATTTTTAAACGTATCCCATTTTATTCGAAAGTAAGAAGTGGTGAACCTTTTAATTTAAACACGAAGTTCACAATTGTTACTACTGAAGACAAATTTTAGAGCTATATTAGAAATATATAACCAAGGGAGATCTATTAAGGATTATCAGTACGCAATTACCTGATATTATTAACCGTCACGAATTTCAACCCGACAAAGAGTTCAAAACATCGTGTTTTTCAATTCGAAACACCGTCGTTCGTGACTCACTAACGCCCAAGGCCAAAATGCCGGCCGGTCTAACTTAGCAACTGCTTTTTTTTCTCTTTTTTGCGTTTAATTGCATTCGCTACTTTACTTAAACCGTTACAAAGATTGCTTCTGTTACTAACCGATGGTTTTCGTTTCATGCAGAAATCACATAAAATTAGATAATTTCAATTCATTTAAGAGAAAAAAAAAGTAGTATTTATCTAAAATTACTTCCGTAAATGTTTTTTTTTATCTTTGAAAAACCCTTTTTTCAAGTATTTAACTGTTTTATTATTTTAACAAAATAAATCAATAAATCCCAAATTGGTTTTTAAAAAAAGGTTTCTCTACTATTATTTAAGTTTTTTTTTGTTTAAAACAAACCGCAGCGAGAAATGAACGTCGAAAGTTCTAGTAAGCTGATGCAACATCGGAAATGAGTGCCGTTATATCTGTTGCTAACTGCAATCGAGTTAAATCGCTGCCCTGCCCTGGTTAGACTTTAATTTTAACGATAATAATGGCCGTTGAAGTAGAATTTGTATTTTACAATAATGCCAACATTTTATGAGACTGTTTTGTTGACGAATTAACATTAAAAAAAAATAATAGAACAATCGCAATGAGTCACCCAAAACCTGTCTGACAATACTCTATAATGAACACAGGTAAAACTCAATCTACATGATTCAATTGACACTACTTTTACAATTCAAACACAATATTTTAAGTTTCCTACATTACAAGGATTACAAAATTTCCTTTGTTCGTGGTTACATTACACTTAAGCCTATATTATATTACACACGGCTTAATTCTATAACTTACATACGAATAAGTACTTACATGCGATTATAGGAAATAAAAGACTTACAATATTATTACCAGATTTTCACCTTATATCACAATAAGACAAAAAGTAATAGTATTTAAAATTACTTTTTGTCTCTTAACAAGTTTAAACACGTCACTATTGGCTAGCCAAGATAACATCTAGGTGATATCGATAAAGTAATCCATTACAACAATAAACCTTACAATAGCTTAGACTATCATATAACTAGACAAAGACACAACCAATAAAATGATTTACAGATTAGAATTATAAGAAGATTACGGAGCATATTACGCAAATATTTATATCACAAAACACTTTTACTAGGATAAAAAAAAAACTTAAGTTCAAGTAAGACAAAGAAGCCGGCCGGCTTTCGAGTAAAAGCCGGTACAGAGAAACGCGAAGACGTGCGGCACGGGCAGCGTACCGGCTCGACTGGCGCGCGGGGACCCCGCGACCGCCTTTGGGACCGCCTCCCGCACCCCGGCCGCAGCCCTCTATATAAAAAGCAAACGCTTCCCAATATCGTCAGTCCGTCACAGAGAGCGACAGAGTCGGGTGGGTCAAGCAGTCAGCCGAGGGCGAGAAACGAAGCCCTGAGGTTACGAGATCAGATCTGATGCAGTCGTGTTAGCCTTGGACATTTCTAACCCATCGATCTCTTCACGATAACTAGTCGCCGGTCGTGAAGCCGGTAGTTCAGTGCGTATTCGCAGTACAAAAGAGACTTGTGATATTTTTCTAGTATTTAAGTTCCGTACCGGAACACTTTAGTTCTTTGAGTTTTAAAAAGTGTACAATATAAGTAAAAATTTGGAGAACATGGAGATCCTGCCGGTTACGAGTCAGTTTAACGTCGGATTCAGTAGTGAAAAAGGTGAGTCCGCTTTCTATTGCAAGTGGTGAGGGAAGTTTGCGGCTTTCTAACCGGCCGCAAGGTGTTGCTATGCGGCGCGCGCACGTACAAGAACAAACCATCTGTGGTAGCGCTGATAGCTTACACAATTGCACATTACGATGCAGTGGAGGACAGGCTGGTTAAGAGCCGATATTGATTTGTGACCGGCATCGCGGCGGTCCCAAACGTCACGGTCAGCTGACGTCACAGCTGTTCAGTTGCGAAGCGCTCTCTTACTCTCGGTCACACCTCCTGGCTTGTTCTCTCATTTATTTTATTATTTGCACTTGTTCCAATGATAATAACACGATAAAATGTAATTTAAATTTAATCTGTGATTTCTTAAACCTAATTTTATTTTTATTAATATTTGTTTTTGCTTTTCTAAATTGCACTTTCTATTGTTATAGCATGGAATGGGCCAACTTGGCGGGAGGCACCGGTGCCGGTTCCGACGGAAGCGGCGCTGGCTCAGAGGCTTGAGAGGGAGTTACGGGCTGCCAAGGGAGCCAGTGAGCTCGCGACAGCTGAGGTGTTGGTACCTGCCGAGCTACTCGCGAGGGCGTCCCGACAGACCCTGGCCTTGGCTGAGGGTGAGCCTTGCGGCTCTCGAGGGGCGGCAGTCATCGTCGATGTGGCTGGGAGGCGACTAGCTGCCTTCAAGATCGACCCCAGCACACTTACGACTCACGAAATACACTTGCATCTGGAACATGATTCAACGAACTGGACTAGCCTGTTGCCGCAGTTCTTAAAGTGAGTTTCTGCCTCATTCCATTAAAATATAAAAAAAAATTATTCGAGCTTTTAATTTTCATAACTAACAGTTTCTCTATCTTTTCAGAAACTTGACACGAAGCGGTACCATTATCATCAGTCCCCAGTTCACGATAGAAAAGAAGAAACTGTTCCGGAGCCAGGCCGAGTGAAGCGGCTGTGATAGCGTGGTGCGAGCGAGCCGACTGATTGCCCTCCTCGAAGTCTACGTATCGTTAATTTAACAAATATCAATATTATATGTATATTAATTATTATATATTTTTTAAAAGATGAAAAAGCACAGCGTGATATGTAATGTATAGTTGTAGAGTAAACGCGCGAGCGTCGCGCTGCCGTTGCTAGGGATGCGAAGTGCACTTTATATCGATATCGATAAAGTGTCTATGTTCGGTCCGTGGTGGCGGCGATTCGCGCGCGAGCCGGCGCGCGGTGCGAGCGCCGATCTCTTTTCTCCTTCTCCCTCTCCATCTCCCTGGCCTGCTCCAGCTGCTCTCCCGCTCTCGCTCCTCCTCGCCCACCGCAGCGGTCGTCCGCGCGCCGGCTGTACTTACGTTAATCATTGTTCGTATTTTATTGTCGAATGTTTTGGTGAATGAGTCCTGCTGGTTGGTTGCGTGAATGGCGTGGCGGCGTTAGGTGCGCACCATGATCTCAGTCGCCGCCGCGCGTGTGATATACCTTGGTCGATTTAGTGTTACGTATTATTTTTTTGTTTCGAGTTCGATTCTATTCTGAAGTTGTGTAGAGTTGGTATATTTCACGTATCGTAACTGTATTTATTATAGAGGCGATCTCGATTCGGGATCAGATATGTGTACGTTTTTTCGTAATTGTACTAGTTCGTACATTTGTTTGTGATACTACTTTTGTAATGTATAAAATTTAAATGAGAGTAATATACTATATGTAAGCGAGCAAGCGAACAGATTTTAATGTTGAAAAAGTGTATCATAGAGCCGTGATGGACGGAGGCAATAAGGACGGCGCGCGGACTGTGTCCGAGCGCTTTAATATACTGCAAAGATCTCAGGTTATATTATTATAGTTATAACAAGTATTAAGTTATTTAAGTTAATATAAAAATGTAATTTTTGTAAGATTGTTTTCTATCGCACGAAGATGCGCAATTATAGTCCAGTGGGTGATGAGATAAATTTTTTGTACTAACGGTACCTATTATAGTTTGACGAGATATTATTGAACTCAGAATGCATTTTCTTCATCCAGTGTTGTAATTACTACATGTGTAAATCAATAGACTAACAGTTATTAAACGAAATCTAAATGTTTGTAGGGTCCAGTGTTTTATAACGCACAATATCATAGTACTAGATTTCACTTTCATCAATAAAAACATTTTTAAATGCTACAAAAACATTTTACTTCTAAACTTGAAATGTCGACATATACAACACTAACAATATATATTATATATATATGTATATCAATTGTTTATAATTGATATTTATTTCATAGACACTAAAAGAAAATGTAGAAATTATAAAAAAAATACATAGTTTCAATAATGGAGTTATTTTGTTTATGTTCATCCTTTCTCCTATACACAAAATCTGCAGAAACTTAAAAACTAAAAGTTTTTATTGCTTCTACAAAAATAAGATTTACGTCAAATGCATGAAAATCATGCACTTGAGATGAAAACAAGCTAAGAATCGAGGCAATAGATTGTATAGAGAACCAGTTTGGAACCAGTCCCAAGCGGGCGAACCCATGCGACCGGTTTCTAGAGAACGGTGCAACCCCATCTTCATACTTGTTGTTTTGGATCGGTCTGGCTACTATATAATTGTCTATTAACCTCGAGAAAGATTCTCTGTAAGCATCTCTTAAAACTTAAGCTGTTTACGAATTCTGTTATAATAAGAATTCCAAGACGATAGCATTCTTTACAACCTGTCTAGTATGAAATCAGCCCTTTGTAACTGAATTAGAAATAATGATACTTAATCAAATGCAAGTAACAAAAATACAAAGAAATTACACTATGAAAATGATAATTATATTATTCGGAACGGAAATAGATAATTTTATAAACGTATACATGCCCATCGCACAATATAATAAAGTTAATGTACGATCGTGTATTTGTAAATGTGTGTCAATTTTATGGGCGCAGCGCGGAAATTGAACTGCGGGGAGTGCCTATCTATTTTCACAGTACCCTTGATATTTCTCCAAACTTTCATAAGCGTTACAGTATCGTAAAAATTGCAAGTGCCAATTTATACTGCAAAAGTAAAGGTGTATTACAATGAAAAGCTGAAGCGATGTGGCGCTCGAAGCCCGCACTTAATGCCTACAATTAATTGTTTTAGGTTTAGATGTTCGATCATTAGCTATTTATGTATGTAAAGTGTTAAGCCTACACATTTTGGATTTGACGGACGGGTTTGACGCGATAATGCGCAAAAAAGCCGCATCGTTACTAAGCAGAACAAGGAATAGCGCCAACAGTATCCTGGGTGTTATAGCACAAAAACATGACTGTCCTATAATAAGGCAAATTATTAAGGTCCTGCATGACTTACCTGTGTGTGTGTATGTATGTATGTATGGCTGCGTGCGTGCGTGCGTGCGTGCGTGCGTGCGTGCGTGCGTGAGTGCGTGCGCGCGTGTGTGTGTATGTGTGTGTTGAGTGATTTTTTAAATGTAAATTATTAAATAAATCAGTTGCCGTATGGTGGCGGTGTCAGGGAATCCGTTACACAATATCGTCCTACGGGTGTCATAAAAGGTAACTAAAGGATTTTTTTTATATATAATTAGGATGACAAGCGGTCACATAGTCCACCCTGATCGTATGTGAATGCTGTGGTTCATAAACATCTACATCTAACCTCGATAAAGAAATAAAGTGCAGTAGCGTTGTCATTCCTGTTTTCCTGTTTTGTTTTCATTAAAAATGGTTTCCGGTTTTCACTCAGCATACGAAACACAGCCTTAAAATGCTATTTTTTATGTTGGTATTGGAAGGACTTCTCCGGTCGAGCTGACTCTTTCGTGCTACCGTAATATGGTTGCAGCATGGCTGTATCATATTTAAACTTTGAAAAATACTATATGCTTTCCGATAGATGACGGTGAAACTATTTCGTTTACGTAAAATATCCAGACCGGCGACGGTAGCAGTGTCAAAGATGCGATACACCTGGTACGTAAAATAGCAGCTCAATGCTGCTGTGTTACTTACGGTGAATGTAGAGAACCGGAGACAATTCTTACTGGAAACGAGGCATTCCATCTTAGTACTAAGCTCCTAAGGGGCGGCAATGCATTTGCATTTTGACTCCTAATCATGTAGGCCACAGGCCACAGTATCTACTTACCATCAGGTGTACTGTGTTTGTCACCGTTATTCTATTAAAAAAAAAAACTAACTTACTGTCATCGTTTCCTCAATAAAAGAATCAGAAAAATTCATTTGTTTTATTTTTTACTGTGTCCCTAATGCACGCAACGCAGTGCAACCATATAGATCGACCAGTATTGGCGTCACTGCTGCCAAACTTCTCGCTTACACTTACGAAATGGTGTTTGTTCACACCTAAATAACCCCTATATGTCCTCACATATTCTTAGAAAGAATATAGGGTGAATTGACTATAGCAAATAAGGCTTCATATAGCAATGCTAGAAGTTTCCACGCAAACACAATTAAAAAAAACTAATATCGCATACCTAATAAATATAATGTGTAATTTTAACACAAATTCAGTTTATATAAGCGTTATTAAGATTTAATCTCACGACATTTAAATTATAAACTAAGAGATTACTTTCGATAGAGGCCAGTTGGCACGGTGCCGTAACTCAACCATGGTTTTCGGCGCTGCGCCCTTGCACAACACGCAATTTGTATTAAATCAAGGGATATTATACTTTCTAACCGCAGTAACACTTTGGCAATCGTGATACTAAACTTAAACACAGTTTTGTTTTATATTAGGTATTATATATTATCGATGTTTGTTTACGTCACTATGAATGTGATTAATTCGTAGTAGTATGTACTTGGTCCCAGCGGGGATCAAACCCGGGTTACATAAATAATATATTCCAATACATAAATAATTAATTTAATATTAGTTATATTAAGTTTTTATGCATTGGAAATGTACGCACTAAGTTTGGCCTTTTTTATATGTTTTTCTTTATGGAATAACTAGAAGATATTTCAATATATTATGGAACCGGTTTCTGTACATTGCATGTACTTAAATAAATTGAAAAAAGTATACACGTTTACCTATTACTTTACCTAACTTCACCAACAGATGGCGCTATGCTCACTCGTAAAAGTCATGAGTAAGGTGTAATGTACGAGTATAATCGAAAGTTAAGATCGTAAATAGAAAAGATGTTGAAGGAAAACTGGTTTCTCTTATACATGACTATTATTACCTATCTACTTTAAAGAGCTTAGTAAAGTTTAGTTATGTACGTCACTAAATATTAATATGGTTAAGTAATAAAAACCTATATTGTCGACTTTACAACAAGATTTCCATTAAAAGTTACAACTTGGATATTTTTGACCCAAGCTCCAAAATATTCAAATGTGCAGTAAAATAGCTTACATTCATACACACTCATTACCATATCACATAGTTTTAAGTACATGTATTATGTAGCTAAGTATGTCATAAGTATTGTCTAGGGAAGAGTCTCCTGTAATAAATATAAAAATGACGTGTCAACATATATATATATATATATATATATATATATATATATATATTTTATAATGTAATTTGATTGTTATCTGTATTGTTGTCCATATAATAAAGAAATAAAAATAAATATATAAATAAATAAATAAATTTTCTAAGAGCCGTGTTTGCTAAGAGTAGAGCGCGCTAAAAATTCGATGCCAAGTTCGATCTCCGCTGGCACCTATGATATTATTAGTAGATAAGGATGATTACAAGGTGCTAATTTACGAGTAAGTTCCCGGCAGTGAAGAAAATATCGTGAGGAAACCTGCATGTCTGGGGATGTAAACGAGATGATAACATACCACTATACCACCATAAGGTTTTTCTGGCATTTTAATTTATTTATATTATAAGTAAAGCTTAGAAATGACGATATTCGCAGTAGTACCAGCGTAACCGACATAACCCAATGG